TGATCCAAATACAGACGTTAACTACACTTTAACCATCAGCCAGTCAAGCTGTTTATATTGGTCAGAGAAAACAGAAACGTGGACTGCGGAAGATTGCAGGGTAAAGTAAATAAAGCAAAAATTTTCAACTCCTGATAAACCCATACATTAGGTAGGTGAAGTCCTTCGTGTCTCATTTTTGTCCACAACGAGGAAACCTACTAGCTCTGTATTAAAAGTATATCAACTGGAAACAAGTTTTTGATTCCAAAATTTCGGGATTTTGTAGTCGAGGAGACGATATTCCTTGAAAGGTGCGTCGTTTAGAGCTTATGCCAAAACCTAGCCATATCCGATATCGGTTTCTTTTCTTGCGGACTGAATTAAGGTTGGTAACTTAAGGGGAAATCGATTTACCAAAACTCTTTATGTTGAATTTAGATGATATCTTTGAGGACATTTATATCCACAGGTCAGCCAAGATTCAAACACCACGCATCTGGTATGCCTGTGCAATCATTTGACATCTTTTGGTGGAAACTTCATCCAAGCACCGAATCCAATTGACTTCGACAAAGTTTTTACTGAGTTTTTAAACCTTGCTGAAAGTGGCAATATTTCAGTACTTGTGACAATTACTTGTTGTTTCCTTCTGTACTTCGTCGTATTGATCGTTGCAAGAAGAGCCGACAAGGGAGATGAAGAAAAAGTATGGTCATGGCTGCTAGTACATCTAATTCAATATTTTTATTCCTAAATAGACTGATTTTTTCTTTTTTAAGCTACTATTGAAATATAAATCAAACGTGCTACGTTCTTACCGGTAGATGTCAACCCTCAGGTGAGTATTAGAGATTATTTTTAACACCAGAATATATCGTTCTTTTCAGATTTGCTCTCCTAGATTGATATCAGTTGTTAAGGGAGGAACATATTACTACGATATGGTTATAAGCACCGGAGTTTGGAAACATTCAGCAACAACAGCTAACATAAGCATTAGTATCAAGGGCGACAAGAACGAACAGAGTCAAATTCCATTGCGAGAGAAAGGGGACACGAGCCAGTTTTTCGGACGAGGGAGTATCAATAGCTTTGTTCTGGTGGTGGCTGAAACCATTGGCACATTAAAAGAAATTACTTTGGAACACGACAATTTGGGTGATAACCCGTCTTGGTTTGTGGAGACTGTGGTCATTAAAGACCGGCAGACGGAAGAAAGCTGGGTGTTCCCCATTAATAGATGGCTTGCGTTGGAGAAAGGCGACGGTCAAATAGAGGTTACTGTGGACAGCGCTACTTACTCTGCCTTCTCGGCTCAGGTTCGTTCGCGCTTTGCTCGAAAAATTGCCGACAGTCACCTGTGGATGTCAGTGTTTGGAAAAGCATGTAGCAGCACCTTCACACGTGTGCAAAGGGCTTCATGTTGCCTTTCAGTTCTGTTTAGTGCAATGATAGCTAATGCCATGTTCTATAACATTGGTGGTGAATCCGATGGTACTATACAGGTTGGGCCTTTTAAGTTTTCTTGGAGACAGATAGTCATCGGGGTACAAAGTGGCATTATCATTGCACCTATAAACATAATAATTGCCTTCCTCTTTAAGTCTAGCAGACCGAGGAAGAAAAGGAGTGACACATACCAAGTGACAGACGAGGCCCAACGACTTTTGGATGAAATAACGGACACTGGCTGTATGCTTCCTCATTTCTTTGTCTATATGGCCTGGTTTCTCTGCTTCTGTACGACAATGGCAGCAGCAACGTTTACGCTGTTTTACAGTCTGATGTGGGGAAAGGAAACCTCTGAGCAATGGCTTGCTTCCATCTTGATTTCCAATGGACAAGATATTTTCGTTATGCAGCCC